TGTTGGAAATGAGAGGAGCATTTTTGGGAATAGAAAGGAAGACAGCATAATATCTCGCCTTAGAATTGGACACACTGCACTTAATCAGTCATTATTTATAACAGAAAAACACGAGTCTGGACTGTGTGCTAAATCTGATCTTCCTGAAACAGTCGAACATATTTTAATCAAATGTAAACGAAAGAGAACAACTTACAGAAGCACTCCATGTAGAAATAAATCAGATCTCACTTCAGAAATTGTTAAATAAAGATGTGACTATAGAAGTGTTTCGCATATTATTGAAGTATCTCAAAGATACAGAGTTAATAAACAGGATTTAAAGAATCACTGCTAATTAATTTTTTTTATTTTATTTATTTTATGTCATTGCTCCACACTCCATCCTAGTAGGTGGCGGTAAATGCACCTAAAGCTGGTTTGCCAACCGCCATAAAACGTCAAAGAAGAAGAAGTTTAGCGTTCAGTGTCTTTTGGTCTGGGTTCTGTGCCATCACGTGCTCTTGAAAGCGCTGCGCCTTAGCGGAAGTGCGTCAGACCGGAAGTCCCGAGTGAGGAGCGGCCCTGAGCTGAAGTAAGATCACTATATTTATTTATCTATCTATCAGAATTAGCTAAACCAACGCTCTGACTGCGTTAGCATGTACTCCGAGTGGCCGCGAAAGCGTCTGTAGATGTCAGGCGAGCTTAAATGAGGATGTGTGCTGTGTTGTGTCGGTTTAGCTGATGCTAATGCTGTGGGCGGGTGTTGTTTTGTGTTGTAACGGGTTTTCGGTCGTGTGGTTTTCTTTGTTATTTACGAGTAACTAAACCAGTCTGCTGAGTTCAGATAAACAAAACATAATTATTTAATTATGAAACAGCGGCGGTGTTGTACTTTAGTGCGAGTGTGTAGTGTGTGAGCTCTCTAGCCTAGCATTCGCTGATCTGGGCTCAGTTACGACTGACACGACAGTTTTTCTTTATCGTTGTTCTGTGCTCGCTTAAAAAGCAATAGGTATACTAGTGATAAATCGCTCGCGGTTCTCCTAAATAACCGTACTAGTGCTCTGTCTGCACTCGCGGCTACTGCAGTGTGAACTGAACCGAGAGTGAAGCTTGTGAAGCTTATCTGAGGGCACTAATGTGAGGACACTACACTGTGTGTATCGTGCTTGTGTGTGTTACGCATGTGTGAGACTTCATTCGGTACTTTCCTGTGTTAATCATCAACATTTAGCTCACTGTCACAGCAAGTGAGAGGAGCTTTAAAGGGGTCATATGATGCTGCTAAAAAGAACAGTATTTGGTGTAATGAAATGTGTTTATGCGGTTTAAGGTTAAAAAACACATTATTTTCCACATACTGTACATTATTGTTTCTCCTCTATGCCCCGCCTTTCTGAAACGCGCCGATTTGTACAAAGCTCATCGGTCTGAAAAGCGAGGTGTGCTGTGATTGGGCAGCTATCCAGAGCGTTGTGATTGGCCGAATACCTCAAGCGTGTGACGGAAATGTTACGCCCCTCACCATACTGTGATGCTGTGTCCTGGAGCGATGAGACAAAAACATGAAAACCCATTATAAACGAGGCATTTGTTGCATCCAGTGAGGACATAATTACGGATTATAATGACTTATACTGTCTTTTTATGCATTGCATCGCGCCGCGTAAACATAAAACCATGTCTGCATTTGTGATC